GTTCGCCGATCTATCACATAAGAAAAATGTATGTAAGTATAACGGTAATGTCTGGGCTTATCGACATAAGCCGTCGTCTCATCGATGTCTCCTTTCCATGCAAATTAGTTTAATACGGTTATGTAAGGATACCATTGAGCTATATACATAACGCATGTATATAATGCTACTTAAATACATTCTGAGTAGGTCAGCTTGAAGGACGGGCTATTAAAAATGTGTGCTGAGTTTTCTTCTTCGGTTTAAAGTGTTTTGAAATTTTAAGTGTATTTTCTTTTTGAAGTTTTACTTGATTTTCATTGCTTGTTTTCTTATAGAAATTAAACTGTAATAGGTTAGTTTTTCAGTCATATTCATTCGATACTTTTTAGGAAATCTTGCGTTGTGAAGTCGTAATATTATTGATGTCGATTATCTCGAATTATCTAAAAAAAGAAAGGCCACATTTTTTTTATAAATTTAAATAATATTTATTTACTGACAAAACTAGCCTTCCCTTCTTTTTTAAAAATTAATTTTTTCTGAAACATTTGACGTCAAATTAGAAGATATTCTTGCGTTGTATTCGAACAAAAAAATACAAATATCGACCCCGCGATTCTTTTCACAGTAGAAAATTGCTAAGCCACTGCGCTACAATTGTAGGTATCCTTATTCAGCTATTAACTTTTCTAATGTAGACTGCACGGTTGGTGCGGTGGCTGGGCAACTGGCTGCCGTGCAACGTGTTGCGGGTTCGATTCCCGCACGGAACAACTCTTTGTGTGATCCACAAATTGTTGTTCCGGGTCTGGGTGTCATGTGTATGTGAAATTGTATGTTTGTAACCGCACCCACGACACAGGAAAAATCCTAATGTGGCGCAACGTTTAAAAAAATTGTATTACAAAAATTTAAGAGAAAGAAATGCTCTAATTTCGAAATACATAATGTAGATGACACGCAAACAACCTACACCTAGTTTACATACGCTTATCAGTAGACTCAGGAAAGAATAACATCATAAACATACAATATTTGCATACAACTTTATACCTACTTTGTCTTATGCATAGCTTTGCGATGAGTCGACAAAATAAATAATTGAACCAAGTTTTATGACTCCTTGTAGTGACGTTATCGGAGGCCCAATTCTTCCAATCCTTCCAATCGAGATTCTCGTTGCGGGGTAAGGCCGGGGTTGCGGGGTAAGCGCAATGAGGCATTGCGACCTCGGCCCAGAGCAGGAGAGCGGGGGTTTTTAGTCAGTAAGAGTCTGACACTCTCTCTCGCCTTACCCTGGGCGTAAGAAGTCATTGGATGATTTTCCCCTGACAAAAAAAGATCCTCCGATCCCCAATAGGCTGGCAAAGCACTATTATTTTTTAATTATCACATCTCTGGTGTTGCGGGTGTCTATGTGCTGCGCTGATTGCTTAACATCAGGTGATCCGTCTGCTCGTTTATAGACCTAGTCCATAAAAAAATGGCAGAGCAGCAAAAATAGTTTTTTAATTCGTATAAACTCTTTAGTAACTCATGAATGAGAGGATTAACAGCCGGTCTTACAACCTATAGGTATAAATATTGCTTACAAGAGGTCGTATTTTGATATATATTAAAATACTATTCTATAAAATACTTACTCTTTTTGATATATATGTAAAAATTACTTCTATAGTACTTCATCCGAAGCTGACATTTTAGACGGGACCGCGCCTGGCAAGCGTATTTCTAACCATTCACAAATGCAATAAAAACAAGAACCTACCTACATACCCACTTATAAATTCACTCACTTACTATCATAATATAGTGTGGGATAGCCAAGCTTCGGCACAAACGGGCCGGCTCCAACGGAGTGAAATTACGGCCTCACAGAAAACCGGCGTGAAACATCCACAGCGTTGTGTTTCGCCGTGTGAATGACGTTACCGGAGGCCCAATCCTTCCCCTTTCCCCCATCCCTTCCAAATCCTTTAATATCCGAAACCCTAATCCCTAAAAGGCTGGCAACGCTACCGTAACTCATTTGGTGTTGCAGGTGTCCATGGGTGACGCTGGTTGCTTACCATCAGGTAATCAGTCTGCTCGCTTGCCGTCCTATACCATAAAAAAACAATAACCTCAAAATTAATCTACGTATAAATCCATTACACCATGGAAACTTCCAAAAAGCTAATTCATTATTGCAAAATCTGATATGAAACGTTTCGTTATTAGTCGCCCCCATTCTGCTCCCATAAAACTTCCATTGAAACGCCCTGATAACGTAATGGAGCTGTCAACGATGACATCTGTCACTGTCACTGTCAATTTATTTATAAATAGTGTACTTAACGACTGTCATGTAGGAAATCGCTGTCTCCGGTACCAGGCACGAGATTGACAATGTCAAAAATAAAAATGTATTGTTAAACTTATGGCGTTTAATCGCTGAGAGGGTTGACACATATATTCAAACAGTTTATAGTACATTGCTTACCATCTATCTAGAAAAGAAGAAGTTATACAAAACGCCTGATGTCATTGATGATCTAAACCAATGACATCAACGTCACTATAACATTTAAACATCCCAATGTCCTCCATCCGAAAGGAATGTCCTTGAAAATTCCTTTTATAAAACCATCGTCCAAAGTGAACAAGCTATGTAATCATATACTTTACAACATTTATTTAGGGTCACAGGTACTTAGCTAGGGTCGACGGTTAACGCATTGGACCATTTGGCGGCAAAATCTTATTTGTCAAAAGAGGTTAAAAAGGGTGATGCGTGAAGGGACGGATTAGGAACAATTTAGTTTGATAAAAAACCTAAATAAATTGTTGGCGTTAGCGTTTACGTTTGAAAGACTACATTTGCTACTAGGTATTTCGAATAAAGATACAAATGTTATTATAATTCCTTTTTTCAGTTTTCGCCATCACTTCGTCCTTTCAGACAGCCAGATATTTTCTGGGGTGGCGAACGAGTAGGCATTACACCTGATTTGACACCCTCAATACAAAAGGAGTTGCTACTTGCAATTGCGTGAGCGTCAGGGATTAGATTGGAAAGACAGGACAAGTTAAAATAAATAATTTGTCGTGAATGAAAATCAGAAAATTGACTTAGATACATTTTCAAAAACGCCACGTGCGTGTACGTGTGACCGTGTGACACATAGATCAGAGACTGACACATATCCAGCTCGATATACACTATGTCTAAGTGACAGAATCACATGATCTCTCTCTTCGAAGTTGTGATCACCTAGAATTAGGTAGGTGAAAAGGAAGCTAAATAAATCTTATCTTGTTTTAATCCAGCTATTGATGTCATGAATCCAGTGCTGCAGATGCAAGCGCTATAATGTACTGTGACCATGACCCACAACAGGAGCATTAACGGGGTTGTTTTTAGTCAGTAAGAGTCTGACACTCTCCCTCCCTCCACCCAAGGCCGCCGAAGTCCGACCGAATGACCACACCAATGACCAACCGTGCAGTCTAGCACCTACATACCTAGCATTGCAACTTACTGGTGTGGTGCAATGCTACGGTAGAGATGCACGGAACAACTCTTTGTGTCAATCCCGGCTCCACAAATTGTTGTTCCAGGCCTGGGTGTCATGTGTATGGGAAATTTTATGTTTGTAAGCGCACCCACGAAACGAGTAAATCCAAGTGGAAGCAACATGTTTTTTTTTTTTAAAGAAATTTACTCTCGTAAGAAAATAAAGCACGTCTGATTGCATGATAATAATGGTGATTATGAAAGTTAACAGTATGTTATCGCACCAGCTTCTTTAATAGGCTATTTGTTTAAGTATGTGTTAATAGCTTTGAGAGGCATTCAAAAATGCCTCTATAAATGATTACAGATATAAATTTTCTTAGTCTTATCTAAGGCGTTTGAGTATGTAAATGTAAAAGCATTTTTAAGGATTATTTAAGATTTAAAGTATACCTACCTATTTATTTAAATATGAGAAGATACACTTATACTTATCACATATTCTATTTTCAAAAAAATTCGTTACTAGTTCTGTAGAACTCCTTTGTAGGTACATAAAGGAGGCCAGAATAATAAATAAGAGAAATTGCCAGAATAATTTAAAATAAATAAATTCAGAGAAGTTATTAGTTTTTTATGGAATTTATATTCGACTTACAAATAGGTCGCTACTAGTTTTAACTGTTTAAATATTAATTCTTAATTTAAATTATCGTCTTCGTATCTAAACGGCTTGGTATCTACTTAATTAGTCAACATAGAACCACAATGCTAATAAAACAGAACATTTTAACAACTCTTCGCACTAACACTTATTAAAGGACATAAGGTGTGTTACACTACAAATTTTGGAACGGGATAATCTAAAATGAAACAATAATAATTATTGTAGGTAGCATTCTTGAAAAACTGTTAGCTAAAAAAACCTTTACAGGCCTGTAGATAAAACCTTTTCGGGTAAGAAGGTCTTCCGATCAAATAATTTATATTCGTAGACATTTAAGATACTACGAGTAGGAAATAATGAGGGTTCCTTTCTTTTTCTGCCGCCAGGCGGCGCTTCGTATGCCTCAGGTCAAACAGCTGTCAGACGGCACAGATTCTTATTACTACTGATATGGATTATATGGATTACGACCAAAAAAATATTGAGCTAGCAAATACTGCCTACATGCATTTATTTGCATTCATAGGCACTGCACAATACTGTAATTTTGAAAAAACAATATTCCGTTGTAACGTTAAAAAGAATAAGCCAAAAAAATGCCCGAAAAATATGTGTACTTAAGTGTTTTGAAAAATGATTGGACTAGACGTTACTGAACTGCCATCTCACGGGGACACATTTCAGAAAACACTCATTAAACTACTTACAGTTTCGGTAATATTCCAAGATGAACTGGAATAACTAGCAAAGCGACATCTATGATCAAGAACATGAAACAAACGACAATGAAACCTTTTTCAATGAGCGCGCTTACAACCTAGTTCAGCAGTAAATAAACAGATGGCGTTGCTAGTACGACCACGTGTGGAAGTAGTGTTACGAAGTTTGTTTTGGTTAGCGCTAGACTCCTATTTCATTATCAACTCCTATCGTTTACTATCAGTCTGTTTTACACTCAAAGTGAGTCTGACGTCTTACTGGTAAGAATTATTTGCTTTATCATTGTATTTACAAGTTTTAGTCCGTACAAATATCTCATGATCATAATCGTCTGGCTTTTGACCTGAAATCTGATTGTTTTACTGGTTCAACTTAGTGTTTATAGAAATTTATAGGTTTAGTTTTATTGGTCAAATAATATATTCGTGCGTAATATAAAACATCTGCTGCGTTTTAGCTCCTGTTTAAAATGTATCAATCAATTAAGTAACGTTAATTTGTGTTATTGCTTAATTCAACATATACATATTTATCTACTATACGCTTATGCAACATAGGAATACTACTTAATTGATGAAAATTAATTAATATGTTATTTTAAGATTTTTTTTCGTCCCAATAGATATATTATACCAAAAATTCCTTATACTAAGGCAAATGCTCTACCTAAGAGTTCCAATTTTATATCGACACTTAAATAGGTATCATGTTTAAAATTGTGCTCCAATTTCAAATAAAGGTACCTTAAAGGTATCTTAAAAGAATAAGTAAATAATTCCCACATGCACCTAACACAAAAACCCTTATACTTTGTAAATCACACAAAGAAAGTATTGTTTCGGGAGTCAAACCCACTGCGTCAAACGTGTCGTCAATATCTGTGAATGGAAATTTGATCATTGGTAAAATTGAGCTACCGCACTCGATTGAGATAACAAAAATAAACACATTATACATTATCTATGTAAGTATTGTTTTTCGATGTCACAAAATGACTTGCATAAAATTATATATTTTTTTATATTGTTTGTTTTTTATTTTAAACACTTAAAAAAAGGTTTAGGTAAATATGTGTCTCAATCCAAATGGTAGTTGAATTAAAACTGGATGGACTTTTTCACGTGAAAACTGCAGAATGGATGATTTAACAGATTTTGTTCTGGAATAACTCATAGCCGGATTGGTCATTCATCGGGGCTTAAGTCATCAACAATAAATAATATTTTTACACAACTGGAAGATCATCCCAATCTTGTTAAAATTCACTATGTTTTAAAGTATTAAGTACAGTTTTCATAAAGCAAAACACAGATGGCGTTACTATAATTTTAATACGCGCTATCGCTATTGCTCTCTCTAAGCATTGTAAAATACTTTTTAGAAAAATGTCGGCCACTATTGTCAATATTTTTTGTTTTTAATCGATGTATGAGTTTTATAAGATCTTCTGAATTACGTACAGTAGACACATTTACAGGATAGTATATTATATGATTTACATATATTGTTATGGGTTCAGAAATAACACGATTGAATTTTGTAATAAAATAATAAATATTTATTTCTAATAATGTAAAAACTAGGTATACCATGACATCATTTTTATCTTTCATTCATATCTTCAAAATTTTGTTTGACGTTCAATAGTGTCTGTAAGGGTCTAATTGAAATAAATGATTTTTGACTTTAAGTTTTGAGATACATAAACACGACCAAGGATAATATGACTAATTATGTAAGCAGTTTTCATTAAGCATAAAATTTGTAAATTAACAATTTATATGCATAAAACAATACTTACTTACAGTCACACAGCTCAAGAAAATTCAACCATTGATCTACAATAACTTAGGTACTATGAAATACATCATACGAGTTCCAATAAATAATAACGAACCCAATAAACCTACAAAATATTAATCGACACCATTTACGTACCTGCACAATTCCCACGAAGATGTAATTTGACCTCGAAATCTAAATTTTCGATCGATATATCAAAATTAACTGCATCTATCATAATTACTTACGATTTATGACCGAAGTTTGGTTGCAAGCTCGTTCAAAATGCCTAATAAATAACAGTTGGTATCAAGCCCTTTCGATTTTGGTATTTAGAGCAATCTTATAATACTGGTGACCTACAGACCGATATTACTTGCTTGGAAGTGTGCTATGACTTAGATTTTATAATTAAACTAGCGGCCAAAGGGTCACTTTTTCCCAATCTTCCCCTCTAGTTTTCTAATATTATCTTTGATAAGAACCTCTCTCATAAGAATTCTCCTGACAATAACAAACACAACAAAAAAGAATTAGCAAAATTGGTCCAGGCGTTGTTGTGTTATGCGCTTACTAACAAATTTTGCGATCCATTTTTATATACATATAACTAGCGGCCCGCCCCTGCTTCGCACGGGTCTCCCACTATCTCGCTTACGACCAAAGTGTCCCTATTTCCCAGATCTCCCCTCCACTTTTCTAGAATTTTCTTTCATAAGAACCTTTTCCTTACCATAACAAACACATCAAAAAAAGAATTGGCAAAATTGGTCTAGGCGTTGTTAAGTTATGCGCTTGCCAACACATTTTGCGATCCATTTTTTTATATATAAAGATATGTCTGCATAAAAACTCGGTACGTGATTAGAAAAATTAACCAGCCGGGTTTGCGGGGCAAGCGCAATAAGGCACCGGGCCCTCGGCCCAGAGCAGGAGAAGGAACGGGACGTTTTTAGGCAGTAAGAGGCTGATACCCCTTTTTCGCCTCAATCTGGGTGACAGCAGTCATTTGATGATTTTCACTTCACAAAAAAAGTTGAGAAAATTAATATTGTCATACCCGCTTGTCCCACACAGACAAGTCTTTGGATGATATTCCGAACTCAAAAAAATATCAATTCTCAGACAGTGACCATTAATTATTTGGCTACTGAGCCGACCAATGGTTATACGATACATAACTTTTCTCTGTGTGTACAAAGTCCTAAGTGTGATACCTACAACCAAGATTCGGTACGAATGAATCGGCTCGACCGGGGTTCCACAGCCTAAGAAAATTGGCGTAAAACCACCTCAGCGATGTGTTTTGCCTTGTGAGTGCGGTTATACGGGAGGCTCAATCCTCTCCCATACCCATCCCTCCTCAATCAAAAGAAAAAGAAATCCGAAGCCACTATAAATATTTATGAGGAATATCAATCCTCTTATGTTTTATATTAAATATATTGATAAAAATTAAATAACGGCTAACTCCTGAAAATAAACTAAGCAAGACTAGCGGACTCTTACAACGCGCATTGAAACTTCACGCGTTATAAATTTTGCCAATTCATCGTGATTTTTTTCCATATTGATAAATATTCGCCATCGGACCCTTTCGTACGGGCAATTTTTTGTTTCAAATTCTAGTAGGTACGTAGGTATGTCATCCGATAATAAAAAAAGATATTATCATAACAATATACTATGAGCAAGACGCGTGTAACTGCGTTATCTTAAATAATATATAAACTCGTGTACACTAAACTTCATTCTGATCTTCCCTTTGTACTCTTGAACTGTGCTGTCGTCATTTTAGTTAATCAGTGGGAACTGTTTCTTATCTCTTTAGATAATTAGCATCAACAATATTAAAATAAATTAGAATATTAAATAAACTTAAAAAAAGTGTTTACACATAATATCTTTATCCATACATGACTGGCCATTTCACAAATTTTTTTTTGTTTTGTCTGATAATTCTAATTTTAAATATTTGAAAAGAAACCTATTATGTAGTACCTACGTTAGGTACCTACCTACCTATTATTTTGTCTAAAATCGTCATTTAGAATTATCTATCAGCCAAAAAAAAATAGCTAGTCATGTAGGTATTACCTAAATATGTTTTTCAAATTAATTTGAAAATAGAATTAAAAGCCCTTTTAATAAAATAAAGATTTAAAAAAAAAATTGAAAATAGAATTGTCAGCCAAAACAAACGTAGTATTCTTTTGCCTACAGACGTCATTTTGTTTAACACCAAGTTAGTGTTCGCGAGCGTATTCAGAAAAAAAATACATACCTACTTAATATCATTTATTTCATGAAAAACTGCTAGTTATAGATAGACGGAAACCTATTTAGAAACGTAACACACCTTCGCTCAGGCCGTGAGAAGACAGGATGGTTTTCCGACCATCAACATTGTTTTTGTTACAATCTTACTCATTCCGTTTCATTAATAGGCATCGCTAAACTTTGATATTCAATCCATTATTAACAATACTTCAGGTTAGCAGGTGAAACCTGATGGTTTATAAAACAAAAGGCAAGAATATGGCAAGACTACTTTCAATCAAACCTAAATGATACTCAATACTCAAACATTGATGAAAGTAAGGCTTAGAAAACATTTAAGTAATAATACTGTAGCTCTACGTAGATATTTCGTGGGGTACAAACCATATTTTTATGTCATAAACGTTATATGATTTGAGAAGTAGGAGAACTTGGAGATTGGGCATTGAGTAGGGATTTTGAGGATAAAGCCTTGGGCAATCTCTATCGGCGAAACAATATTTTGTGGTCAAATAAATATTTGTCTAATGTCAAAATATAAGCGTTACACCACTGCCATCGGGGTTGCGGAGTAAGCGCAACGTGGCACCGCGACCTCGGCCCAGAGTAGGAGAAGGCAACGGGAAGTTTTTAGTCAGTAAGAGTCTTACACTCTTTGTGGCCTTATCCTAGGCGGGAGAAGTCATTAGATGATTTTCCCCTGACAAAAATAAAACCACTGGCATTATTTTTCTACACTCAGCAAAAAATACCTACTCAATTATTTTTAACTTCATATTTTGTTTTTTTTTTCTAGAACCGAATACAAAATGTCGAAGATCACTCCAAACCCCGCCAAAGCTTTGTTGAGGACGGAGATAGCTGCTCGCATCGCAGCACTGTCCACGGAAGAGAAGAACCGACAGTCTAAAATAGTTTATGATAAGGTTACCCTTTGTAATGATCAAATATTATTAGATTTTGTTAGTTTAAAAATATTTAATATTTAAAATATAACGAGGGAAACAAAAATAGAGTCAAAGGTGCAAGTAAGTTTACAAAAATGAATACTGAAATATCACAATTAAAAACTGTAGTCTCTTTTAGATCTTGTCGGTTTATTTTTTAATTTTGTTTAAAGTACTGCTTTACAAAAGTATTTTGTACTATATCGACTTCAAGTTTTCTTCTTGTTGCACACTTACCATGCTCTCTCAGCATCACCCTAAGGTAGACTGGTAAGAATGCCTATGGCATTAAGTCCGCGTATATAATTTTATGTTGCATAAAGATAATTTCTATAAATAAATAATTTCTAAACATAGGAGTAAAGTCTAGGAACAAGTATCCTGTATTCCATAGTATTCCTAAACTCTGAGATGCATTCTATTCTACATTCCAGATAATTAACCATCCTTGGTACAAATCAGCGAACCGCATTTCCCTTTACATGAGCACAGACCAGGAGATCAACACAGCGCCTATCATCAGCCACATCAAGCAGAGAGGAGCTAAAGCCTTCGTGCCCCAATACGCTGGAGGAACGATGAGGATGCTTCTCCTCGAAGAAAATGATGACGAGAAGACCATGTTCATCACTAAACATGGGATCGCACAGCATGGGAAAAATCAGAAGAGGGAAGATGCTGTTGAAACTGGTGAGTTGGTTTTTCTGTCAATCAACCTAGAACAATCTTAGGTGTTCTTTTCTTGTGTGGCAGTGGCAGTGGGCAGGTCACATTTGTCGAAGAACCGATGACTGTTTGGTGTTCTAGAGTGTAGACATGTCTAGGCAAACGTAGTAAAGGGCACCCCACAGTTAGGTGGACTGACGATAACCGCAGGGTGGCTGGCAGTGGTTAGATGAGAAGAGTTGAACATTGAACTCAGTGGCGTCGTCCAGCAGTGGACGAAATCATATAAATTTCTCTACTATGCCATGGATATTTTTATACATATTAAGTTTTCTTTTCTATCACTCAAACTAAATCTATTTAAGAAACTGCATTAAATTCGTTACGCTATTTTTAAAGATTTAGGCGTAGGTATATAGGGATATCTGGACAGAGAAAGCGACTTTGTTTTATAGTATGCAGTGATTATAAAGTTGTAGAGTTTGTTTGAACTCGCTACAGTTACAGGTCCAACATCTGTTATGAGAGACTATGTAATAAATATACGTAAAGAAATAAAATACATTGTTGTTCATCATATCTCGATTATTTTAATTATTGACATAATGTTGACACATTTTTCATTATAAGCTTACTGGCTTACCGGCCAGTAACTTAATTATTAAAGAGGTAATATACCACAGTTTCTCCCCCCTAGTTTTGCACCAAGGAAGCAGCTAGGAGCTGGTCAATGTGCCTACGCCAGACAGAGCCGTCATCAGTTATTATTTTATAATGTAGTCTACCTAAACGTTCTTGAACAGTACCGAAACGCCAGCGCTGCGTGGAGCCGATGCTATAATCACGAGCCTGGATGCGGTCGCCTGGACTGAACTCTTTGATAAGATGTGGTTGGTGTTTAACTGATGGCGGTCGGTGTTCCTCTCTCAAGAACATGGCATGTAGCGATGTGCGTACCTTCCTACCAAACATAAGTTCGTAGGGGGTCAGGCCGTTAGCGTCCGGCGTTCGACGAAGTCGTGTTTTAGTCGTGAGGAGCTTTTGATATATTGTACCTCCTTCCCCCTCTAAGCTTCGTAGTATCCTTTTCACGGTTTGAACGTATCTTTCGGCTTGACCGTTGGTCGCTGGATGGTATGGAGCAGACGTTTAATATACGATCATACTGTCTTTGAGAAATGCTTCAAACTCTTCTGATATAAATTGTCTTCCGTTGTCAGAAACTAAGATTCGTGGTATTCCAAAGGTGCAAAATAATTCTTTCAGTTTTTGAACGCACCAAGAAGTTGTTGTGGTTTTGGTAAGTATTATCTCAATCCATTTTGAAAATGCATCTACTATAATAAAAAGGTGGTGACCCTGGAAAGGTCCCGCAAAATCAATGTGCAATCTTTGCCAAGGTCCATCCGGTCGTTCCCAATGGTGAAGTGGTGCTTTTTCGGGTTCATTCTGTTGTAGTCTGCAAGTTCTGCACGATCTCACCTTCTTTTCGATGTCGTTATCAATCCCCTTCCAGTATACAAAACTGCGCGCTAATAGTTTTATCTTAACTATGCCTGGATGGCCGAGGTGTAGTTCATTTAGCACGCGTTCGTGAAGTGTTCTAGGGATAAGAACGCGAGCTCCTCTTAGTATACAGCCGTCATGTAATGTGAACTCATTGTCCTTGAAACCGACGGTTCTTAGCGAGATGCCTGAATTAGGTGCCTGAAGTAGGGGTCTGAGTTCTGAATCATTTTTAGTCTCAGTTGCTATCGTATTTGGGTTGATGTCTATATTATTAATTTGTTCTAAATGGAATTTGTAGTTCTGGTCTATTTTATTGATCCTTGTAGACTCTATTGGAAATCTTGATAGGTAGTCGGCATTGGAGTTATTCGCTGATGTTCTATATTCAATATTGTACTCGAATCCGGATAAGAAGTGGGCGTAATGGAACAACCTCATAGTGCTCATTGCTGGTAAGGTTTTGTTTGGATGAAATATGCTTGTAAGTGGTTTGTGGTCTGTTATGAGGGTAAATTTTCGGCCGAGGATATAGTAGAAAAATTTTTTTTTAGAATCGCCGTAGCTTCTTTGTCAATTTTACTATATCGTTTCTCGCTGTCTGATAATGTTCTCGAGGCAAACGCAATAGGCCTTTCTGATCCGTCAGTAAGTCTGTGTGATAGGACTGCACCAAGTCCTAGTGGTAAAGCATCAGTGGCCAATACTAGCGATTTTGTTGGATCAAAGTGTGTCAATACTCTTTCGCTTAATATTTCGTTTTTGATTTTGTTGAAGGCTTCTTCGCACTGTGTAGTCCATTGGAATCTTGATTCTTTCTTTAGTAAATTGTTCAAGGGATTCGTGATGGATGCGAGATTGGGTATGAATTTATTATAGAAATTTGCCATACCGAGAAACGTTCTTAATTCTGCAGTATTTACTGGGCGTTCTGTTTTTATTATTGCATTTATCTTGTCCTTATTTTTGTGCAGGCCGTCTTTATCTATAGTGTGCCCTAGGTAATTTATACTTGTTTTGAAAAATTGGCACTTATCCTTATTTACTCTGAGGTTGCTTTCTTTCAGTTTATCTAGAACAAGCTTAAGTCTTTGTAACAATTTTTCCTTTGAATCTCCTTGAATAATTATATCATCAAAGAAGCATTTGACTCCTTCCAGCCCCTGCAAGAGTCTATCCATAAATTTTTGCCACAAGCTCGGCGCGACTTTTACACCGAACATCAGTCTATTTACTTTGTATGTGCCTTTGTGTGTACTGAGTGTTTGTAGCATTGCACTTTCGTCGTCCATGACCATATTAAGGTATGCTTGAGTTATGTCGAGTGTACAAAATAGCTTGCCGCCGTTCATTTCTGCAAAGATATCCTCTATCATCGGTATTGGGTATTGTTCATCCAATATAACTTTATTTAGTGTAACTTTGTAGTCTGCGCAAAGTCGGATTGACCCGTTCGGCTTGACTTAAAGACTGAGGTTTTATAAAGTTGTAAGAGTTGGTCTAGTTCTAAGTTCTTTATATGTTGTATAGTTTTTATGTCTGCTAAGTTCAAGCTTCCCAGTTCCTTCATCCAACTGCGTCCAAAAATAGGATCTACGTTGCTACTGATTAAATATAGTTTACCATGAAATTCCTTCTCTTGGTATTTGCATTTAACGTAAGTGACTCCGACTGGTTTTATTATTTCTCCTGTGTAAGTACGAAGTTTAATATCAGTGTGGAACAGTCTTTTTCCAATATTCAGTCTCCTATAGTCTTGCATTGACATTGACGTTAATGTTGCTCCAGTATCAAATTCCATTTTCAGGTTTGCGTTCTCGATCTGTGCTGATATCATGAATTTCTCAGTTCTTTCGCCAGATATTGATGTCCTTCCAGTCATCGTTATCGCCATTGTTCGGTTCTTCTAGTTGGTTTGATTGGGGTCTCGGTGCCTTGTAGCGCAGATAAGGGTTGCGTTGTAGGCAAACGCGGGCAAGATGGCCGATTTTATTGCATTTTCGGCAGGTGACATTGCTGGCGTTACATGTCCTGGTTTCATGAGAAGATCCGCAGCGAAAACATTTACCTAATAAGTCTCGGCGTGTGATTTGTCTTGAGCTTGAAGTTTTAGTTCGATATGTGTTTATAGAAACTTTATCAATACTGCCGTTACTCGTGCTGGGTAATAAATTTGTAGCAATAGTGTCGTTTTCTGTTTTTCCCATTTCAATTGATGTTGCTATTTGAACTATTTCTTTAAATGTGCGTTTATTTTGATCTTGTAAAATTTTTGTTCGTGCGTCATTATCTTTTAGGCCTCGTATGAATTGTAGGCAAAGGAAACTTCCTGATGTGTTCTTCTCACAATGTTGGCAATTAAATTCGCAGTTTATTGTTAATTTTTTTAGTTCCGCTGTGAATTGAGCTATAGTTTCATCAGATTTTTGTATTCTTGATATGAATTTGTGTTGTAGGGCCCATTTGCTAGGTTTTGGATCTAAATATTCATTAAGTGTTTCGGTGATGAGATCAAATGACATGTTGATTGGTTCTTCCGGGCATACTAAGTCGCAAAGCTTTTCATGAAGCTCTGGTGATAATGTAGATAGTATAAAGTTGGTTTTTGTTTGATTTTGGTAATATTATTTAATCGAAAGTAGCTTTCTAGTCTTTTCTTAAAGTTGTTGAAAGTTTCTGATGCTCCTAGTGGTTGAAATTGTATTTTAGGTATGCTCTCACGTATCTGTTGCTGGTCATGCAACTGTTGTGCAATATGATGTTGCGCTCGCTGTTGTTCTTGCTGTCGCTGATTTTGTTTCCTTTTTGTTAATAATTTCGTGATTATTGTGGTGTACAGCTCTTCGAAATCGTATCTGTACTCCTGTTCTTGCTCGTAAGCGGTCTCGTCGTGCTGGTCGGCTGTGTAGTCTTCGATCGTTAGCTGAAGCTCTCGTAGAGACTTAATTGCTGTGTTAAGGCTCTCAAAGCGAGCCTCGATGTCCTCGTCAGACATCGACGCCCTCGATGTTATATATTTTTCTAATCTAGTGAGTAACCCTCTTTGGGTACTCCGCTGTTTCTTTACCTTCTCCATCATGAATGTCGTGATCGTGGGTTTAATACTCGTCGCCAATAATAAATATACGTAAAGAAATAAAATACATTGTTGTTCATCATATCTCGATTATTTTAATTATTGACATAATGTTGACACATTTTTCATTATAAGCTTACTGGCTTACCGGCCAGTAACTTAATTATTAAAGAGGTAATATACCACACTATGAATCGTTAATCAGCAGTTTTTTTAGACGAATGAAAACTAACGAAATTAATATTTACATTCGAAAAATATCATCGTTAGGACTTTTGTTAAAAGACGATCAAACCTCTACATCAAAATAGCCAAAATCGTTTACACATTTGGCTAGTATACCTAATTAAGATGGCTTTGACTGCATCGACATAAATCTCAAATGTTTATTACTTTACCTGAATTATGGGAATCTGCAGGTGGACTGGATCTAGTTATAGCTCCAGGAGTAGCCTTCTCCAAGTCAGGAGACAGATGTGGTCACGGAGGCGGCTACTATGACAAGTTCCTTGCTGGCCTGAGGAGTAACCCCGAAACTGCACCTAAGGTACGTTAAAGTAATGAAATAGATATGATACTGTAGGATTGTAAGTATGAGTGAATGTGTGACAGAGAGAGATATTCTCTCTATCGTATCTATCTAGTGTGTAAAAGAGAGAATGGCAGAGGATTTTCTAAAAAAATAAGATGGCGTCACGTTGAATATAGACGCAACGACGCACACACAGAACACAGAGCACACACCTGTAAAGTGTGTTCTCGGTTTTATTCGAAAAACAAAAGACAAACTAAACGACCCCGATTTTTTACCACCAGGGGGTCTACTCTTATTCTACGAAAAACGAACTTTCGATCGAAACTTCGCGTGTTTCCTACCACGGTTTCAATTCGTTCCGAAATTTCGTTCGAACGAAGACGTTTGACATTTAGAACCTACTCTAATCCTTATTAGCTCCGAACGAACTTTTGAATTTGACAGATGATTTTTCGGATTTTCAAATTGACGAAACCAAAAGTGTTACCTTTTAATTTTCGTTTAGTGTGGATTTTGTATGAAAGTTGTTTGAAATGGCTACAAGAATGCTCTAAATCGAAGCTCTTTTACGCGAAGAACGTGCTCTACACGTTCTTCACGTAAGAAGTAGAAGGAACCGGCGCTGCCCGCGCAATCTACTTAATATTCCTAAGTCAAATTTCCGACTTAGAGTTGTAGGACAATCGCCTATTATTTGAGTAGCTGTGAGAAACCAACTTATAGAGAAGTTTTCAAACAAAAACTCATAAGTTCTATGTTATTGTTATGATTAGTTTTTAATTTCTTGGCATGATTAGTTTGCATGTACTTCGATTATTCGGAACGTGTTAGTGGGTGGAAGGGGTAAAGAAACCGATCGCTGCGCTCATTGCGGCACAAATATGTAAAAATGGGGAAGTAAATAAAAAACACTTTTGAAAAAATTATTGACTATTTTCCTAAAGTTCTGCACTTATTAAACAAAAATTAAAAAAATATTATCATTTTAAATTAAATTTCAATTTTCTACTAGACAATTATAACAAGGAGTATCATTTTAAACAACTTATTAGCATTTTATATAACATTAAATCAATATCATTACCTACTGTAACACATCCAAGTATATAAAGTTGACACACAACATAAATGAGCATTATTTACCAAATAATGCTCAAAATAAAAATATCACACATTGCCCTCCCAGTTACATACATTTGTAATTGAACATGAGTGTAATATGAATGGCTTTGTTTTAATTCTAGATATTACATTATTTTATAAAAATAGTAAGTAATTAACATTGCATAGATACATTTTATCAAATTCAACGACAGGTTTCTTTTCAAATGTAGATAATCGGACATTTAGCTTCGACTCGCTTTGTCACACAGTTTTCTTCCACCACTACACAGTCAATATTAACGCACAGCCAAATTATTATTCGCATTAGTTCTTGGATCATCCCTCACATGTTCTGCTAACACCAATTTATATTTATTGTCTTTTATAGTATATTTTACTAACTCGTATATTGATAAAAATAAACAATCTGTTGACATTAATTTTTTGACACATGTCGAGCACGGTCCGAATACAGCCATTTTTGGTCGTCATACATAACAACCCTTTCTTGGCATGAAATAGTACTCTTTAAATTAGTCGGTTAAAAATGTCTGTAAAAGAGTGTTTTATAAAGTAACGATGATAAATTACACGATAAATTACAATTACGTCAAAAATAAATATATTTTTATTTTCTGCGTGGAATATTATAAGTAATAGTTTTACAAACCACATGCATAATGTGGAATTTAAAGAAACAGCCAGAGAATTTGTAATTTTAACTTTAAGTAAAAACCGTAATTTACCACAAATCACATTATAAAGAACCTACACCATTACATTCGTTCACGAAAATTATCTCTGGATCGAACTTCGTATGCGTGTCCGAAAATAAAACAGAGTAGGGTCGTCAACGTTCTTTCGTTCGAGTTTCGTTCGTTTCCGAAAGTTTCGTTTCGAAGAAAGAGAGTAGACCTCCAGAATCCTACTATACAATAAAGTACATGCAGCTTCCTTAAAAGATTACCAAAACTTCATAAGGCAGCTATTTCAAACTTTTTATTCTTGTACCAAAAATATTTGAATATAGAATGTAATTTGTATAAGCCAAATAAGCTTAGCGGGAACTTACAAGGAGGCGATGCGAAAGGTGTTAAATCTCTTACTTACCTACCTAATAATTTTATTGTAGTTCGACTGTCAAGCAAGAGTCGTCAGATTCATATTCCATAGTGGGCATTAGATAATTTTAATGTCTTTTACCGCCCTCATAGGGGCGAGACAGACTCTTACTGAGGAAAAGCCCCCGTTTTCATTTTCTTTCTTATAATGTATGACTATAGCACCTAGATTTGCGTTGCAATCCGCGTAATAAAAAGTGCAAACTGCTACTATTGATATTTCCGATTTAAGCTATTTAGAAGTCATGGAAATATTTATCCCCACCTCAAAAAAACCCATATTTTTTGACAAAAATTGTAAGGCACTATACAGAGTGATATTTTAGATTTAGACTGCACGGTTGGCGCGGTTGCTGGGCAACTGGCTGCCGCGCAACGTGTCGCGGGTTCGATTCCCGCACGGAACAACTCTTTGTGTGATCCACAGATTATTGTTCTGGATCTGGGTGTGATGTGAATGTAAACTTGTATGTTTGTAAACGCACCCACGACACAGGAGAAAATCCTAATGTTTTATAAAAAAAAAGTCACCTTCCAAATTTTTAAGGCTTTACACATCATTCACTAGTTACATTTTCGAGAACAAAACAATATATATAAATATGTGTTATGTTGTACTAAATATTGACAATTAAAAATGTTTCAGGTGGTAGCAGTGGCCTTCTCCTGCCAAGTGATTGACAACGTACCTACGAACGAACAGGATCAAAAAGTTGACGAAGTTATTTACGCTGAATAAATTAATTAAGTAGTTGCCTATTGGTATATCGTAGATATATATAAAATTGTATATTCCTATAATAAAATCTAAGATTCGTTTTTATAGTAAGCCTTTTATTTTCGTATGTTATTATTTTAGGTCGATGTACCTAATGGTAAGGTTGACCGGTAAGTTGTACTTTTGAGTTAGTTAATAATAAAAGATTTTGATGGGTATTTTATACATATTTTAATAATCGTACTTTCATTAATATTTTTTTCGATAGGTTATTATAGTTTAAACTTACCTAGCCACATACTAGGACTCCCTTCTCGTTAGTAAACATATCATTTTACTTACACAATACATCCTGTACCCAAACAACATTATGTGTATCACACAAAAATTGTTTCTTGCGAGAATCGAACTCGCGATATTACACAGCGTCCAGTTTACCAGTGACAGCGCTAATGAACAGTCATTTTTTAATGTAAAATAAAAAAAATGCAGCATTTTTTCTTAATCTGGTATCCGTTCACCTCTCTTCTGCACCTTTTCATCCTTCGAATGCTACTAACCTCATTTAACCAGATTAATTTATTTTTTTTGTATTTAGAATAAAACACCAAATAATTCTTTAATTTATTTTATTTTTACACAAAATTAATTGGCGCTCTATAAAGAGTAACGTTGATGTACAGTCAATCTCAAAAATGTTCACAAGTTATATTTCCTATCGTAAAAGTGTATTTTTCTTGAGAATCCATTTATTAATCCTTATTCAAAAAAATATTTACTAAAAGTAACAATTACAATCACATTCCGATCACAAATATTTCAATACTAAAAGGTCACTTAATACAATTATTAATATTTTTACATGGCAATCTCATAACATTAAAACAAAAAGCTTTTGTTTTTAAATGAATGTAAGTATTCCATGAAAAAAAACACAGCTGAAAAAGAAAAAAAAATTGCGATATCCAAATTTATTTGTGGCCAGTTTATTAAAAAGTTTTTGAATAATAAAAAAGTGAATACAATTTACTGTTCAAAGATTTTAAAAGAGAGGTTAATTGAAAAAGATTTGTTTTATACTTTATATGGCACCAAATAGCATTGAATTTAAAATGGCGTTTTAATTTTAATGTAAAGAATAATGCCACAAACATTTTTACTGTAGAAAACTCGATTTTAAAAGGGCATCCAGGGTTGGTAAAAGTTATTAAAAAATAATTTAGGTTCTAAATAAGACTGAAAGCCTAGCTAACTTCCATTTTTACATACAATCCTAAGTCTAGAAAATATACAGAAAAAAGCTAAATCTATTTAGATTGTATCCCACTATCAAAGAATCAATTAAATAAGTTGTAATAATAATATAGACTTATGATTAATACGTACGTACAGAATATTTTAGTTCTAAATTACTAATTAACAAAATATTTAAGTTTATTTCTAATTGGCAGTAAAGATAAGGTCACAGGCACTGTTTTAAAACGTGACAATATGTGCCTCGATATTTTGCCTAATGTCGTAATAATTTTCTCTTGTATCCTTGAGACAAAGGAAGAAGAAAAAGTATTTGATTTTATATCATTCACAATATTTTAAGTCTAAATACTTATGCAATAGTTGCTAAGTTTTGAAAATATTGTAACCTATTAATTCAATAGGTAAATTTTCGATTTTGTGTAATTCAAATAACATGTTTCGATAGGACGCCATCTTTTTTTACATATAATTAAACAAATAAAATATAAATGTCAAAACCATTTTCTTTAGATTAAGGATATGGTAACACCTAAAGCATGAATAACTATTCTTTAAATTTAATCCTACATCTAAATAGGAAGGCACATAAGTACAAATATCTTATAAATACATAGAAAATAAAGAAAGTACCTACATTATACTTACGTATTTACAAAATTAACTACTTACAATGTTATCTATATATATACTAAACTAAAACTAACAATAATTTTCGATAGTGGAATCCAAATCGTTTCATTTTACAAGCTTTTTATGATACAATATTTTTCTTACTTGCAATATTAAAAATATGATTACTAAAACTATTCTTAAAGTAAAAAGAATATAAAGTTATATAAAACTAGAGATTACTTTTGCTATTTAGGTAATTTAAAAATATCAAAAGTGATCTAAGTACCTATCTATATTTTTCGTTGCATTCCGGCAACAAAGTTACGTCTCTTGATTCACCATATTGATTTTGTACATTTACAAAACACTGTAAAGCCATTTATGTATTTTACAAGTATTTTGAAAATCAAATTAATCTTTTGAGTGTGACTGTACTGCCCAAATCTATGTAGATAGATATTTATTCTGTGTCAAAACATTCGTGCCAACATTCCGAATAAATCTGCCCTTAGCAGTAGTGCCAACAACATGATAAGAATTCAAGAAAGGAATATTCGCAACAGTTAAGAAATTCAAAGCGTAGGACTATGTACGACATAGTCTGACTATGATACCTAGGTTTTGTTCGTCAACATAATGTAAATGTAAATAAATACAAGACAATGCAATTGAAATGTTTTAAATTGAAATTATAAGGTGACAAATAAACAGAAGGAAAAAGAAATTGTAATCAAATTACAAAAGCTACTTTGTTTGTTCGGTAGTATAATATAATCGTAAAAGGTCGATTGTCAATTCTAGTACGGTAGACGTGAGTTCCTTCCACCAGACGAATGGACGTGTATCCTACCTTAGTTAAGGTACCGCAACAAAAAACAATATATGCCCAGTGTTTTTATGAACTATGAAGTCTAAGCTCACCGAGTCATCCATAACCAATAAATATCGACGCATCCTATGCCATTTCGCACTGAAAATTTAGCTGACCAGCTAAAAACGGGCAGCAACTCCAAGCCACTTAGGATTTAAAGCATCTCCCCGATAAGAGGCCGTTGTTGAACAGTGGATGTTATCCAGATATTTACACTATTGATTCTGAAAGCTTATAAGTTACTCATCAACTATGGATGATGATAAACTAATGAGCTTAGCGTAGTACAGCTCCGAAGACTCTTTGCCCTCTCGACATGAGGAGTTCCACGGCTCCAACTGCAGCTAAAAGGAGCAGCAACGCTATGATGGCTAGTGCAGCTCTGCAGCGGCGGCGCCTGCGTTCACTCCTGGCTAAACGACGAGATAAGGCTTCGCCCCGAGCGCCATCTAGCGTGAAGAGTGCGCTAGCAGCCTGTGAAGAGAGAAAAAGAAAAATATATGAATAAAGTCGCATTAATAACTTTTGTTTTAAATGTTATGATAAATATTTAGTTTATTTATTTTTTATTCGCAATCAAACCTATACTCCGAGCGCTCGTCGAGGCAACATCTCCTGAGGATGGGCATCCTCAGGAGATGTTGCCTGTGTGTGGAAGGGCGAAACACGTGTCGAGTATAGGTTTGATTTCGTGGCATGTTTTTCCGTTTTTTTGCACGTGTGCATATGCATGTTACCTTTGCCGCATGTGCATATGCATGATTGCATAAGAGTGGGATTGCATCCTTGTTGCAGGATGCAATCCCACATAATACTCACTCACACAATGCATGCCTGCCTGGATTTTTGTCGCGGAATTAAAACTAAATATTTTTCATAACATTTAATGTCATGGATTTCCGCAAAGTAACGCCTGATTCTATAAATTAACTTTTGCTTTAATATAAAGCTTCACTGAACTAACATAAAGGTACAGAAACCTTCAAAAAGAGATAGGCAGGGAGCTCGGGTTACCATTAAACAAACAATGTTCTTGACCATTCATTAAGTAATAATTAAAAACTTTTATCACCGAGTACATCGGCGCAGTAACACATTTATTGTTTTAATGAAACACATAAAGATAATTAAGATATGAGGTAAATAGGTCAATCAGAGCAAAACTTAAGATTTAATAGATATTGCTAAGTAATAACTTTTAATTAAATGTTTAAAAAGAGATTATTGTTATCGTATAATAAATACTCGATTGATTGATCTGGTTGTGATTGGACATATTGGTTAAATGTATGGAGAGCAACCTTGGTATAAAAAAATATGACCCCATTTATAAAGTTTGAAACGTAGTGTAAATAATACTCATAATTTTGGTAGGATAGGATATCTATATTGCCGGGGTTGCGGGGTAAGCGCAATGAGGCACCACGACCTTGGCCCAGAGCAGGAGAAGTAACAGGGGGTTTTTTTAGTCAGTAAGAGTCTGACACTCCCTCTCGCCCTGCCCAGCGGGCGAAGTCATTTGATGACAAAAAAAAAAGGATATCTTCATCTTGTTCAAAACTAATCCTGTCTAGAAATGTTCACAATGCCTAAAAACCTAGAGAATCCTAGCAAAATAATATCAATATCAAAGTAATATGTGACACCTTAAAATGCTGTACATTTAATTTTATTATAGTGTATTTAATGTTTAGATGTAAGAAATAATGTAGCAGCTACTGGTTGTCCATAATTCAATAAATAATATGTTCTCGTTTTTTATTAACTATTTGTCTAATGTTTAAGAACGATTTATTTCGGACTCTTTATTCAGATTACTAAGCTTCGAAACCCTGTATATACGCCTATGGTCTATCGATTAAGGTAATTTACTAAACATAAACGGTCTTGGCAGGTTTTTCACCTAAAAGTTGTCTAAAAATTGTATATAGAAAGGCTTTCAATAAGGTATTTACATTAATCGATGTTAGCTTAGAAACTAAATTTAAATAATCTTTGTACGTACATATTTTACACGACCTCTTTAATATAAAAAGAAATACCAAGATTGTTTAACTTTAGTAAACTTAGACCATGGTCACTTAAGAAAAAAGAATTAGTTCGCCCTTCAACAAGTCTGTGTGTCACAAGAAAAAAAAAACAATTAAAACGAAATAACAATAAAACAAAAGTTGTGTTAAAACGATATCTTATTTATAGTCTTACAGACTTTAAGCGCTTGAGAAATAAGTATATAAGCATCAATTATTATATTTAATAATATTAATATCAATTTCAATATGTTTAATTACAGTTGTTGATAGCATTTGCAACACAAGTTTCCTTTGTAAAAGTGTACCGGATGTCAGGAGCCAAGGTTCTGACGGCTGTTGTAAACCAGATAATTCTTATTAATACAACTTTCATATAATGATATGTATAATAGGTATGTGTTAAATAGGTGATTGCTAAGGATATAACAGTTTAAGGACAAATATTCAAAAATTGTGTAAGATTATTTTAGCCCTTAATTCATCAAGTTCCACGCGAACGCTGGCGTTTGCCCACCTATTGTTTTACTACCTATCGTGTCTTATATTACCACGATTGAAAAATTAAGATGAAACGCTAATTTTGTTAATTTTATACTAGCTACTACCGCGCGGTTTCACTCGCAGCTCGGCTTTATTTAATTCTAGCGTGATGTTTATGTTTTACAGCCTATAGCAATCAAAAACATTGTAGCTATCTATCAGTGAAAGAATTTTGGGAATCCAACCAAAAGTGGGTTGGTTCCAAAAATTATGTACAAACATACAAACTTACAAATTTTACCTCTTTATAATATTAGTATAGATTTATGACTTACAAGTATCTACATATAACAAGAACGACTATCATCACTACACAGTATACAACAAAGTCACTTTGGCTTTCCCTATATCCCTATGTAGGTAAGCTTAAATCTTTGAAACTACGTAACGGATTTTGATGCGGGTTTATTTTGATAGATAGAGTTATTGAAGAGGAATGTATATAAGTGTAGTAACATCGTTTAAATTGTGGAGAAATTTAAAAACAGCATTAGGTACACCCGTGCGATACCTCATCGGGTTGCTAGTAATCACTAACACATCCTACCCTATTTTTGATAAGAACTTTCTTCGTACAAGAATAAATAGGTACACAAAAATTAGAATCAGCGACATCGGTTCAGCAATTCTTGAAATTGTCGATTAGCAGCACAGTTAGCTATTTATTTGATATTCCAGATAGATATCAAACGACTACACGGGATTTTATCACATATATTGACACCAATCATTAATAGCACAGGATAAAAACTAGAATAACCAAGTCTCTATAGAGGAAGTGCCAACAAAAAACCAACTAAAAGATATCAAAACTACAAATCTCATTAATTCAACCTATACATATAGCTACATTCCCGTCCAAAATTAAGCCAAGCCCGTACATTATCCTTTTACTAAATAACTGTTAAATTATACAATTTCCGAATAACTAGTTAATCTCTAACAATAACATGCAGCATTCTGCAACTGTACCGTGCCTATGAAGGTTTTCGTTAATTAGGTATTTGGGTTTTATAAAAGATACTCTACGCTCACTTTACAGACTTAAAACTAGCCTTAACTGCAATTAATGTTAGGAACCCATGTCTCATTCTGGCGGTGCAAAGATAAAAATGATACCATTAGCATTTAAGTCCCAATCTCTAAATATCTGACATCCCGATCCCCAAAGCGCCGGCTACGCATTCGTAAACCCTCAGATGTTACGGGTGTTTATCCTCAGATGTTACGCGGAGCCGCTTACTTACCATCAGGTAATACGCGCTCGTTTGAAGACCTATCAAGTAAAAAAATGTTATCAAAAGTCTAATTACTGACAGGAGAAAGCATGAAAAGACAAGTTTTTTTAGGATGATGGATACATGAAAATCTAATATCTCTTCAAAGAAAAATATTTGAAATATTAAAACCGAAGAATCGAGTACTGTAAATAGGCCACACGGTAAGCTGTGACAAATGGTAGGCCATCCATCCTAGACCCGACCGTGGCAAGCATGACTTGACCTCACAGTATCACAGCTCCAGTCACACTTATATAAGACAGAACACATTTCATTGTCATGCACACCGCGACTAAATCAATCTTGTTCATTATATAAATCTTGTCAATTTGATAACATCATTATATCAAGCTCATTCACGATAGGATTCCTTAAAGAGGCAGATTCGAAGTTATATAATTTACCTACACATATCTGTTTTTTGTTATTTCGTAATGGGCAGACATTTGGCCTCTACCACCCCTGGTGGTAAGCAATGATGCAGCTTATGATGGAACACGCCTATTAAGCTACCTATTCACTCGGGCCTTGAAGACGCCCAGGTCTTCAAGGCCCGAGTGAATTTTTCATCATTTCACTTTGGGGAGCACAGATTTCGGCAAAGTAGTCCACTCCTTAGCGGTTCTAATTATAAAACTGGAGGTGATGTAATTTAATTAAACAAACAAAAACACAAGTATGAGCCTTACAATCTTCGCTACTTTCCATCATACTGATATATATATAATCAAGCTGTAAATATAATCAGCATGTACCCACAACACGGATTCGTATAGGAAAAACGACTAAATAAGTCTACTTGAAAGGAACGAACTTACCAAAAGTGTGATTGATCAGGCCTTCTGCCTGCCTCAAATTCCATAAACAAAATCAAAAGTGCTCGTATTATGAACTAACTAGCTTCCGCCCGCGGCTTCGCCCGCGTCATACTACTCTGTCAAGAAAGTAACGGGAAAAAGTCAATAACACACAAAATGTTTGTTATTCATCTAAATTTATTTTATCACCTTCAAAGTATGCTCCTTCAGAAACGATACACTTACGCCAACGAATAATCCAATCATCGAAACTTTTTTTAAACGCTGTTTCCGGAATTGAGTTCAGTGCTCGCCGCGAATTCTCCTTTATGTCTTCTAACGATTGAAAACGGGTGCCACGAAGGGGTAATTTGAGTATGGGAAAAAGAAAGAAGTCGGCTGGAGGCATATCTGCTGAATATGGTGGCTGCTCGATGATGTTTGTTGAGTGTTTGGACAAAAAATCGTTTACAATGATGGCCTTGTGTGAAGGCGCATTATCGTGATGCAAAATCCAAGAATTTTCTTTCCACATTTCTGGCCTTTTTCGTCGAATTTGTTCTCTTAAACGCCGCATAAAGCTCAAATAATATTCTTTATTTACAGTTTGACCTTCGGGCAAGAATTCTGAGTGCACAACACCGCGATAGTCAAAGAAAACAGTCAACATGACTTTGACTTTTGATCGACTTTGACGTGGTTTTTTCGGTTTTGGTTCAGTTGGAAGGCGCCATTCCGAAGCTTGTTGACTAGTTTTCATGTCAAACTCGTAAACCCACGTCTCGTCACCACTTCACCAGTAATTCGTTTCATGAATGTTGGGT